TCTGGATATTAATCCTTTGTCAGATGTATATTTTGCAAATATTTTTCCCACTCTGTTGGTTTTCTTTTAACTCTGTTAATTGTTTCTTGCCTCTTCAGCAAATGGTGCTGGGAGAATTGGATATCCATATGCAGGGAATGAAACTAGTCCCATACCTCTCACCATATACTAAAATCAACTCAAAATGGATTAAGGATTTAAATATACACCCTGAAACAATAATACTTATTAAAGAATATATAGGAGAAACACTTCAGCAAATAGGTCTGGACACAGACTTCATGAATACAACCCCCAAAGCACGGGCAACCAAAGGAAAAATAAACAAATGGGATTATATCAAACTAAGAAACAGGCTTTAAATTCGTAGACATTGAACTTTTCATAGGCCAATTGTTTCCATAGGAGATAAAAATAGAGTTCCAAAAAATTAACTTATTTTTTTGTATACTTGTGTGTTTATGTGTTCATTTATTTTGGTAAATTTCTTTTGGAGTATCAACAATACTTGGTCTAGATAAATTCATCACTCCCCTGTCCTCTAGTGTAAATTAAACTATACCATCAAAAGTCTCTCAGGTACATACTCAGGGATGGCATTTTGCCTCTGATTCTTCAGCTAAACCCCAGCACTTGTCCAGGCAGTTTCCAGATATTATCACAGGGATGATGTTTATAAGAGAGGCAGAGTGCGGCCTGAGGGACATTTGGGGGTGTTTTCAGTGGTTTGTCATTCTTCTTGGTGCCTCTCAATTTTTTCCCTTCCCTGTGGTTTCATACATTCTGAGATCTTAGCACTAGAAGGTTCTGTAGAAGTCATTTTTCAGGTGTAATGCAGAAGACACCCTGGCAGCAATCTGGACAGCTGGGCATCCAGCTTCTATTTAAACAATCCCAGAGGCAGGAAGCTCACTTCATTTCAAGGATGTTCATTCTTTTGTGAGGCAGTTTAATGGTCACAGAGATGATGTGCTTCCTCTTGCTTCCTTAGATCCTTCTTCTGACTTCTGAAGTTACACTGAGTAGATTTCATTCTCCTTGTATCCTTGTGTACATAAGGACAACTGTCAAATCCCCTTAGGATGTTTGTTCATCGGGGTAATATTTCCAGTTTCTTCAACATTTCTTGCTATGACATGGTTTCCAAGATCTACATCATCTTGTTCCCTCTGCTTTGGAAATGGCTCATTGAGGACCTTTTATTATGTAGTACACAGAACTTAAAAAAAAAAGCGAACAAAATCTGCAGCAATGGCCATACTATATATAAAATAGCACTTTGATTTTTTGTTTTTAATTTGTTTAACTAAAAGTAGACTATATATTTATCCTTTTATTTTCATCACATTAAGTTTGGTCCATTGACGTAGCCTATTGAGTTTAATTTTTGTGATAATTTTCTCATCCATCATATTATCCCTCATTTCAAATCTTCTGCCAATTTAATGTTCATGGCATCTTTCTCTCTTCAGACAAAGATGCTGATTAAACTTGAACAGGGTCTGGTATAGGACTGGAGTCCGTGACACATTGGGAGAAAGTTTCTCTATGTCAGCGCTTTTCTGGAAACAAACTTTTTGAAGAAAAAATGAAAGGTTTCTGGCCAAATATGTTTGGAAAATACAGCACCATATATTCCCTTAGATAAAGTTACAATGCTTATTAGACACTCCCAAAGCTCTGATAACTACAAGCATTGGGAAAATTAATTGCTTAATTAAAAGTTTCCCAAAGGAATTGGCCAATGAACCTTCTCATCATTTTTTAGAAGAAACTTATTCTTTGGAATACTTTTAAATTTACAGAACAGTCACACACAGTATAGGGGGATTCCCATATACCCCTCAATGTGTTTGTTTCTTCTAATCTTATCATCTCACATTACCATGATCTATTTGTCAAATATAGGAAATCACTATTGGTGTGTTACTATTAACTGTACTACAGACTTTGTACCATTAGTTTTTCAATAATGCATTTATATTCAGCAAATCATTTAGATATAACCCCAGAACCATTCCTTGCCCTGTGGACAGGGGCTTGTATTCCTTTGCCATAAGGTGACTTGCTTTTACTGTTGTTTTATGTGAGTGAGATGGGAGAATAGAAGAAGCTTTGAAAGTGAAGTGAAGGAAGGTCATGTTATTGGGAGAGGGGTAGTTGTAAAATATGAGTAGAGAGCAGTGCACTTTTTTTTTTTTTTTGTCTTTTTCCGTGTCTGGCAATGGATGGCAACCCTCAGTGTCGCCCCCGCACCGGACCGGGACCGGCAACGGGATCGCAACCCTTGGCGTTGCTCCCGCGCCTCGCTCAGCCAGTGAGCGGGAACCGGTCTGCATGTGGGATCCGAACCCTTTGGTGGGAGCGCCGCCGCGCTTCCCAAGCAGCGCACTATCCAGTGTGCCACCAGGCCGGCCCGAGAGCAGTGCACTTTAAGGTTAAATTAATTGTGGTAAATTACTTGGATCGAATAAAACTGACAGGACACTTTTTTGGGTATTGCAGGTACAGAGAGGGCTTGTGGCTTTGGTGTCACTCATTACCATTTATGAATGACCTTATCAGTTGGAAAAATTGGTTATTATCTAAAGAGCCAGCAGTGCAACATTCTTTTTTCCAGATATCTCTACAGTAGGTTTATCCCTTGTGTCTGAAATGTTCCCACTCGATTTATACCCCTGTGGCTTATCTTGGTACTTTATTAACATGCTCTTCATAAAACAACACAAAAGTGCGATGTTGTCAGATGCTTTCGAGTGAATTAACTGGCTAAGGGGTTCCTGTTGGGCATAGGGAGGCAAAGAAGGAAGGGATTGAGTTTCTGGTAAAGGTTAGGTAAAGTTTGTCTCAACATAAGAAGAACGGTGATGAATGGAATGACAAGGATTTGTTTAAGAGAACCCAACATCTTGCTTAGGGTGGTCCCTAAGACCTTATAGGCAACAGCAAGAGAATAAAATACTGCAGGTGGTGAATTGGGCTAATTTTCAATAACTCTAATTTCCACAAAACTGTCCTATAAATCAGTTAATGCTGCTTATAGATGGGATTCCCTTCAAAATCTAGTTTTATTTAATAAACCTTCTTTAAAGATCTAAGGGAAACTTGATGTTTGGAATTCCAGTTGATATTGATAATTATAATAGTTATAGTTGATTTTACAACCAAACAGCACTGTACAATTTATAAATACCCTTTGTAGAAATAAACTTCTTGGTGTGATATATGTGTGTACTTCAGACACTTAATGGGAAAATAAGGGACCCCCCCAGCCCATGCCAGTCCCTGCTATCCACAGAGGCCTGAGAGACATCAGGACCACAGGCCCAAGGCAGGCATGCCAAATTGTCAGTCCCTACATGTTCCAAGGCAGATACTAGGGTGGAATGAGCAGACTGTGAAACCACCTGCCACTATGACTAAAAAACATAGTTAAGATACTAGAAATAGAGAGAGACCACACATCCTGTGATTACGGTGCACAACCCAGCAGGTAGTCCTCGCCACCACTGCCTGACTCCATCCCCAGCCCAG